TTCCTCAGCTGCATCATCCTCACAAAACAGAAGAGGAGAAAGACCCAACTGCAGGAAGAAATCAAAGAAAAACTAAAGTAGGAATATTTTTACACCAAAAGCATAATTCTTAAAGAGAAATGTCAGAACTTTTGAAGTGGGGTTCTGTTCATAGGATATAGAAAAATCCCGCCATGATTCTTGGGCTTTACACAGGGCTTAATTTGTAAACTGATCGATGCTGGGAACGCAGTAGTGGGTGGGCCGGGGGTTGGGGGTCTGGGCGTCTGGGCGTCTGGGCGTCTGGGGGTCCTCCCCCAGAATATTTTGAATAAAGTAGATGTTATTTCCTGTATTTTGATGTATTTTAACAGGTTGTTAACTCCTTCAGCTTGACAGCCTCCCTAACCCGGGGTGTCCACAACTGAGTTTGAGGAGGGCCACCGTGTGAAGCACCAACAACCTTGTAACCACAGCGCAAGGCAGCCACTTTAACAATTGAGTCGTGGAACATGGCCCACTCTGACTCAGTGTCCCCCGCCTCAGCTGGGATGCAGTTAAAGCTCTCCCGGAGGTGTGAGTTGATGATCTTCCTGATAGGTTCTTCTGCCAGGCATTCTCAGCAAGCCCTCACTACATGTTTGGGTCTACCGGGTCTGTCCGGCATCTTCTCCCACATCTGATCCAACTCACTACCAGGTGGTGATCGCTCAGCTCCTTTCTTCACCTGAGTGTCCAAAACAAATGGCTGCAAATCAGATGACACGACTACAAAGTCAATCATCAATATTTGACCTAGGATGTCCTGGTGCCAAGTGCACTTATGGACACTCTTATGTTGGAACATGGTGTTTGTGATGGACAACGTATGACTAGCACAGAAGTCCAACAACAGATCACTGCTTGAGTTCAGATCAGAGAGGTCGTTCCTCCCAATCATGCCACTCCAGGTCATACTGTCATTAACCACACGGGCATTGAAATCCCCAGCAGAATAAAGAAGTCCCCAGCTGGTACACTTTCCAGCACCCCCAACAAAGATTTCAAGAAGGCCGGATACTCTGAACTGTTGTTTGGTGCATAGGCACAAACAACAGTCCGAGCCCATCCCCCCACCCAAAGGTGCAGGGAAGCTACCCTCTCATATACTGGGGAAAACTCCAACACTCAGCAGACTCAAAAAAAAAAAAACCATTCATGGAAACATAAACACCACAAAATATACAGATCCCAACAAACAGCTGGCTGAAGCGATCCAGATGCAGCCTGGAAGCACAAATGTCAATGTACAAATATAACA